ATTTCATAGTGGGCCCAAGAGACTAGGAGAGGAAGGTAATTTATCTAGATGAGACTCATGAAAACAAACATAGCAGCTAATTTTTATCTCTCTTAATGATGCCCCTACTCATTTATAATGCCATGTAAATTGCCATGATGATTAGGATGGGGAGTTGTGAACCGAACTACCTAGGAAAGAATTACGAGTGATAGAATACAATGGAATAAGTTTATTTATATATGTTAGGTTTTGAAAACTTTTTTTTGAGACAGAGTCTCACTGTGTTGCCCCAGCTAGAGTGCAGTGGCGTCAGCCTAGCTCACAGCAACCTCAAAATCCTGGGCTCAAGCGATCCTCCTGCCTCAGCCTCCGGAGTAGCTGGGACTACAGGCATGCGCCTTTCTATATATATTTTTAGTTGTCCAATTAATTTCTTTCTAATTTTAGTAGAGACGGGGTCTCGCTCTTGCTCAGGCTGGTTTCGAACTCCTGAGCTCAAACAATCCGCCCGCCTCGGCCTCCCAGAGAGCTAGGATTACAGGCGTGAGCCACCGCACCCGGCCTGAAAACTTTTTATTTAGAGATAATTGTAGGTTCACATTAAGTTGTAAGAAATAATACAGAGAGATTTTGTTTACCCTTCATCTAGTTTCCCCCAATGGTGACATCTTGCGTAACTATAATACAATATAAATCCAGGAAGTTGACAATGATGTAATCCACCTAACCTTAGTTTTTACATGCACTTTGTGTGTGTTTTCAGTTCCATGCAATTTTATCACATGTGTAGATTCATGTGATTACCACTACAGACAATAACAAAATAGTTCCATCACAAGGTGTTCTCATACTACTTACTCTTTAATAATTACACCTATTTCCCTCCAAACCTCACTCCTTCCTTAATATCTGGCAATCTGTTCTCCATCCTCATAATTTTGTCATTTCAAGGTTACATAGATGAAAACATACAATAATCTTTTGCAACTGGCTTTTCTTCACTTAGCATAATTCCCTTGAGATCTATTTAAGCTGTCGTATCAGTAGTTGTTCCTTTTTCTTGCTGAGTAGTATTGTGTGGTATGAGTGTACCACAGTTTAACTATTCATTAAAGAACATTGGGTTGTTTCCAGTTTGGGCTATTATTAATAATGCTGCTGTAAACATTTGGGATGGGCTTTTGTGTGAACATAAATCTTCATTTCTCTGTGATATATATCCATGAATGAAATTGCTGGGTTGTACAGTAGTTACATGTATAATTTTTTAAGAAACTGCCAAATTGGCCGGGTTCAGCGGATCATGCCTGTAATCCTAGCACTCCGGGAGGCCGAGGTGGGAGGATCACCTGAGCTCAGGAGTTCGAGACCAGCCGGAGCAAGAGTGAAACCCCGTCTCTACTAAAAATAGAAAAAATTAGCTGGGCGTGGTGGTGCACGCCTGTAGTCCCAGCTACTTGGGAGGCTGATGTACGACGAGTTCTGAACACAGCCAAAAACAGATTATGGGGATAAATTGGGCTATAGTAGCAAGACAGGTTATGGGAGAGAGAGAAAAGGAAGCATGACTAGCAAAGGTGGGCTTGTTATGTAGATGAAACCTCACAGGTAGCAGCCCTCAGAGAGAATAGATGATAAATGTTAGAGTCTGAGATAGCAACACCTCCTGGGTAGCTGGAACTAGCTCAGCCAGCCTGCCCAGCTCAAGAGTTCTTTACGTAGTCTAGATACAAGTCTTTTGCTGAACATGTACTGTCTTAATTCATTTGTGTTGTTGTTAAAGGAATACCTGATGCTGAGTAATTTATAAATAAAAGAGGTTTAATTGGCTCACAGTTTTGCAGGCTATACAAGAAGCATGGTACCTGCTTCTGGTGAGGGCTTCAGGCTGCTTCCTCTCATGAGGGACAGAGAGGGGGAGTCTGAGTGCAGAGATCACATGGCAAGAGAGGAAGCCAGAGAAAGAGGGAAGATGCCAGGCTCTTTTTAACAACCAGCTATAGAGGAACTCTCTTCGGATATAATGGAATGAAACTCATTCATTACCCAGGACAGAACCAAGACATTAATGAGAGATCCAACCCCATGACACAAACACCTCCCATTAGGCCCTACCTCCAACAATGGGGATCAAATTTCAAAATGAGGTTTGGAGGGTCATATATTCAAACTATAGCATGTGGTATGCAAATATTTCTTCTCCCATATTTATGAAACTTTTCTCTTGTTAGCTGGACTTGAAAGGCTGCACTGTCTACTCCTATAAGGTCTAATGATGATCTCAAAGTCAGTAAGTTCTGAAAATCAGCCTTCTTTACCGCAAGTATACTGGTGAGCTGCAGAAAGGCAGGACTATTGCAGGTGAGTCTTATTACTGTTAAAAGCTTATTATGGACCATGTACTTGGCTGGGATCTAGAGGATTAAAAGGCATCCTCTGCCTTCAGTAGGCTAGTTCAGTGGTGGAGACAGTTAAATAAACTAAGTACTAACAATCTGGCATGCTAAGTACCAAGACAGAGTTCTCCCAGGATGCAACCATTGAAGGGGGAAATCTAAGATTAGGCAGCTTGAGGATGTCTTCCTGGAGAATGCCTTTCAAGTACAGTTTAAGGAGACATATCTCCTCCACAATTCACAGGAGGTCCTTTTCCCATATTATAACATATTTTCAAACCTCTCCAAATTTAGTCCTCCTACTCTCCTTTCACCATAAATTATTAAGAAGTGCATAAATGTGGAGGAAGAGTTTTTTTGATGGTTTTTCTTTAGGGAGTCCCATATGGTGCTCATATTTGTGTGTGTGTGTGTGTGTGTGTGTGTGTGTGTGTGGCCTCTTGCCATTTTGTAATACCTAGCACCTGCCAAGTTATCTCTCCAACAGTCTCCAGATGGATCTGAGCCCTTGTGATATCTTGGCACCTTTTCTGTAAAAATGGGGTTTTTAGAATGTCTATCTCACAGGGTGTGAGGATTAAATTAAATGATAAAGGCTCTTGGAACCCTGGCTGGCACATAACAAAACACTCAATAAATATTAGCTATTGTTATTATTATGATGCTAAATCCATTCATGCTATTCCCAAGTCCACCTTTCACATATTCTAAGAATATGGCTACAGTTACACAATAGCAAATAGAGAGAAGGCAAAGGATATCTCAATTATCTAACTTATCTACAAAATGAGGCTGTGAAGACACCCTGACATCACTGTGTATGCCTTATCTTCACATAAGAAAGTGCCACGTGTTAGAAAAGGTGCTATTATAAAAATTTTAAAGGGAAAGGATGGTGAATGCAAAAAAAAAAAAAAAAAAAAACAACAAACACCCCAGGACAGAATTTGGGCATCTACTTCAGTGAAATATCCAGGATAACGCATTCTCAGTTTTTGAACATAGTTTACGGGTCTTTCCTATATAACAGAGAAGGCCAGACAAGAGGTGAGTGGAGACCACATACAACAATGAATTTTAGTGTTATGAGCATCACTTCATCTAATTTTTAAATTGTAATCTTTGTAATATATGCTTAATGCTTCAACACAGTGATTATTTTACCCATGATCAAACTGAGGCTCAGAAAAGCTAAACCCATTACTTACCCAAGATTATAGCCAGTTTTGGTTAAGCCTGGAATCCCAACTAAACTTTGGCAGACTTTGAATCCTATATTCTTTCCCTACACCAAAGAACCACACTTGCTGCCGCTTACTTCTCTGACTCCCTTATTTTTGCGTAACATTAACAGTGTGAATTATTCATGATTGCCCTCATTAAAGCCATTTTTCTCATTCATTTAGGTGAAGATGTTACGTTTTCTTTATTATTGAGAACATGGTTAACAGTTTTTGTAATTGAAATGATTCTTAATATGAAAATATTGAAAAACATTAAACCCTGCTTAAAACACAGGGCTAAAATAGGAATTTTGTAGAGAAGGATCAATCCAACAGTAAAGAAATCCATTTTTTTCCTCCTCATTACTTATGTTCATCCTTCATTTGGCATTACAACACTTTCCGTATAAATAATGTTTAGAACTGTCCTGTACAATGCGGTGGCCACTAGCCACATGTGGCTCTCAAGCACTTGAAAAGTGCCTAATCCCAATTCAGCTGTGCCACAGTGTAAAATATGCATTGGTTTTCAACTAGTGTAAAAAAGAAAATATTTCCTTACTATTCTTACATTAATTAAATGTTAAAATGATATCACTTTGAACATACTGAGTTAAATAAAATGTTAAAATTAATTCCACCTGTCTTTTACTCATTTAATGTGGCTTCTAGAAAATTTATAATTACGTAAGTGACTTGCATTTGCGGCTCCGCATTATATTTTTATTGGACAGCACTGGTAGAAGATGAAAAAGTGGGGAGAGTTGTATTGAAAGATAGTGCGTTTTCTTAAAATTTCTGGAGGGGAAGAGAAAAGGGAAGAGATTGAAACTTGGTAAACGCAGGTGTGATCTACTGTGATAAATACATAGTGTGAATTGAAAGGGGGGGGCAGTACTTTGATTCTGTTTCTACTCCCTTTCCCTGCCACTAACCGAGCAGATGCCAGAGCTTCTTCCAAGGTCCCCTTCCGCACCGTTCCGCGCGCCGGAGCCAGGTCACTCAACGCACCTGCGCGCCCACGGAGGCGTGCGTCCGCGACCCCCGCGCAGGGTCCACGCCCCTCCCCCCATATTTTTATTTTCCTGGCATCAACCGTCAGTCTCGCACTTCTCTCCTGAGAACCATCGAGTAGGTCGGGCTCGCCTGGGGTAAGCATCTCCCTCATCCCCCGCAGCCTGGCCCCGGGAGCCCAGAAGCCCCCGCCCAAACCCCGCTGAGGGCAGGGCCGCCCTGTGGCGGAGATGCCGTTCGTCGGGCGGCCTGTGAGGTTGCCGAGGACGGCCAGCCACGAACCCGACGAACCGCGCTGGCGCGCCCGGGGCCTCCGGGCCGCGGGGGGCCGCTGTGACCCGCCTTCGCCCCAGCCGCACCGAAGGCGGGGAGCCGGGTTTTGGGGGAGAATCGGAAAGCGGAGGGTAGCTGTGGGAGGCGGGCGCTCAGGCTGCCGTCCGCTCAGGCTGCCGTCCGCTCCGCCTGAAGCACGGAGCAGCCGAGCCGGGGCCCGCCGTCCTCCTCCTCCATGAGGCCCGAGTGAGGCGCAGCGGTTAGAGCCGGCCCGCGGCGCCTTACCTCCGCGTCCTATCCCGAGCGCAGCGGCAGCGGCCCCTGGAGGAGGAGGAGGAGGAGGAGGAGTATGTCGGACGGCTTCGATCGGGCCCCAGGTGCTGGTCGGGGCCGGAGCCGGGGCCTGGGCCGCGGAGGGGGCGGGCCTGAGGGCGGCGGTTTCCCGAACGGAGCGGGGCCTGCTGAGCGGGCGCGGCACCAGCCGCCGCCACAGCCCAAAGCCCCGGGCTTCCTGCAGCCGCCGCCGCTGCGCCAGCCCAGGACGGCCCCGCCGCCAGGGGCCCAGTGCGAGGTCCCCGCCAGCCCCCAGCGGCCTTCCCGGCCCGGGGCGCTCCCAGGTACGGAGCAGCTCTAGGGGACCCTGTCCTCCTGGGCCAACGCTTCCCCACGGCCCTCCGCGCGTGCCGTGGTCCGGAGCGCTGTCTCCTCACCCCCGGTTCCCCGAAAGTGGTCCCCGAGGGACCCGCGTGTTACAGGGTAGGGACGGGCCTGGAACCGGGTTTGGAAGGTGGCTGCTGGAATCCTTTGTGAGCCCCGGCTGGGGGAGGGGCTGGGTGCGTGGTCTCGGAGTTCTGCTGTCCGGGGAGGAAGTAAAAATCGCCTTCCCCTCCGCAGCCCTCTAAAGCGAGACTTTAGGTGAGCAACCACCCTTTTTCACCGACTTCTTAAAGAGAGAGAGGGACAAAAGCTCTCAAGCGCTCATTTGGGAGGCAGGTATGTTCATAAATGAGCTAAAGCAAGTCTATTGTTCCTTTTTACAGGCTCTCTTTATGTATCCTGGCGACACTTTAAATTTCGTGATGATTCCTATTTAACTCTTAAAAACCAGCGCTTCTCAGATGGTTTTTCAGCATATAGCAAGTAGCTATACAAAAAAATGAATGCAACTGACACCCCTTTTTTTCTTTTGCAGAGCAAACGAGGCCCCTGAGAGCTCCATCTAGTTCACAGGATAAAATCCCACAGCAGAACTCGGAGTCAGCAATGGCTAAACCCCAGGTGGTTGTAGCTCCTGTATTGATGTCTAAGCTGTCTGTGAATGCCCCCGAATTTTACCCATCAGGATATTCTTCTAATTATACAGTAAGTACATCTTTTTCCTACAACTCTGGGTTAAGACTATTGGAATAATGTGGTTATTGCTTCATTAATCAGTTATGTTGATGCTTTCTGTACTACACGTGAAAACATTCTGAATTCATTGAACTCATGAGGAAACAAAGCTGATTCAGAAACATATTTTGTAGTATATAAACATATTATGTAGTTATAAAGAACTTCTGAACTTTCAGATTCATCTTTGTCAATTATATAACTTTAAAAATTGGTCACATTTTTCTTAAATAGCAGAAAGCACAGTTGGAATATGTAGAAGAGAATTTGTTGTGCTGGCTAAACTCAGATGAGTAAATCCATAGGGATTAATTGCAGATAAGTGGGAAGGAACCATTCTAGATTGAAGAAATGATTGATAGTATTTTGGCATAAGTCGCGTCTTTCCTATCTTTAGTTGAACTATAGCATAGAATGGTGTACATGAGGGTTAGCTGAAAGGTTCACAAAGAGAACACTCGGGTAACTAGCATCCCAGTCAAGAAATGGAACATTATCAGTATCCCTAAAGCCCCCTTTGCTCCCTCTAATCATTACTTATTTCCACAGGGAAGCACTGTTTTGACTTAACAATAGTTTTGCCTGTGTTCATAGTTTATTTTCAAACAGAATATATCCGTTCTCACTTTCACTCCACATCAAAATTAATCAGTGTTGTAGCATGTAATTAAAGGTGATTAGGCCGGGTGCGGTGGCTCACGCCTGTGGTCCCAGCTACTCGGGAGGCTGAGGCAGAAGGATTGCTTGAGCCCAGGAGTTTGAGGTTGCTGTGAGCTAGGCTGACATCATGGCACTCTAGCCCGGGCAACAGAGTGAGACTCTGTCTCAGAAAGTAAATAAATAAATAAATAAATAAAATAAACGTGATTTATTCTCATAGCATCCCATTGCATGAATATATTCACAGTCCCATTTGAACATTGGATAGCTTCTACTTTAAGGCTATTTTGAATAAAACTGCTATTCTTGTCTATGACTTGGTGGATATATGCTTTTATTTCTGTTTTGTATATAACAAGGAGTAGAATTTCTGGGACATAGAGTAACCAACTTTAGTAGAGGCTGCCAAGTAGTTTTCCAAAGAGATTATTCCATTACACACTCTGAGCACTCTGAGCAGTTCTACTTCCTGGCCAGTACTTGGTATTTTTTGCTTAAGGTTATTTATCCTTTCTGGTGGGTGTATGGTATTTGGTTGTGGTTTTAGTTTGTATTTCCCTTACAACTGATCATGGCACACATTTGGTTACCTTTTTTTAGCTCACCCTCCATATTTGATAGTAAAAGTATGGAAAAGCTATATTCCATGTTTTAGATACTCCCTTCATCTTAGATTATAGATTAAAAAGCTTTGGGATTAGAAAGGGACAGGTATAGACATAGCAGGAAGAGCAGTTGATTTGGAGTGAAGAGGGCCATCTATTGTAAAATAGAAATGAAAGCATCTTGGGTTCTTGCCAGAAGATTGTGTTGAGCTCAGAGAGGAAAAGAACCTTTGGAAAGCTTTGAGTAGTTGAATAAACTATAAAGGATGCTTACCTTCTAGCAGCCACAGTTTCCCATTTGTTTTCCTCCCTACTGACTTGGGCTATTTTTGATGGATATGATAGTTCTATTCACAATCTTGTATCAGCTATTTTTGCGTAGTTCATGTGACTTCTGAGCTATAGAGCAGTGTGTTAAGTCATGTTAGTCACCTTATTTTGAGCCACTGTCATCTTTTAGGCATTCCTTACTATCATCTGGTAGATCAGCTCCTCCTACACTCAATTCACCAGACTAGATTATGGCTAGGAATCCTGTGAGACCTGCAGGTGTGTCATCTTTGGCCCTGTGTGGGATTTTTTTTTTTTTTTCCCTGTGTGAGTTTTTTAAAGTTGTTTTAATTAATTATCAATACTGAAATATCATTAAGTCTTTTCTGGTTTCTTTTTAAGTCATAAGATCTGGTCATAGTGGACTGGTATTTTAATAGAGCAAAAATTGGCTGAAGCTGAGTAGAGGCAGTCCCTTTAGATGGAGTGTGTGAGTTTTAGATGGAGTGTGTGAGTTCTAAGTTGCTCCCTGGCTTACTTCATTTTTGTAACCCACCTGGATTCTACAGACATTCAGGCTTGCTACCCCTGCTCTGGAATGATCTCTAGCCTTACTAGTTTAATATTTAGCCTCTGTCAAGGCTAAGGTTTTTCTCAGCCTACTTAGAAAACAGCATCCTTAATTTTCCCCCTACTCTTAAGATCTTGTTGTGAGGCAGACTTTTCCTTATAGTAACCATAATCCAAAGTTAGCTACATTCACTAATTCAACAAACAGTTGAACACTTATGAATCAAGCACTGGGAATACAGCCAGGAGCAAACAAAATGGACAAAAATTTGTTTTCATGGAGTTTCTATTCTAGTGGTCTCCTGGCTCAGCTTCCAGAAATTTCTTGAGTCCGCTTTTGTTCAAAACGTGAAAATCTATTGCCTGGGATCCATGAGCTAGGTCTGCTCTTAAGAATGCGTTCTTTCTCCCAGCCTTTATGGCAGTCTTTTTCTGTGTTTGCTTAACTTATTCAAAGCCCCAAGCCCTTTTATCTCTGGTCCTTCTAATCCTACTGCTAGAATTTCCTACTTTTCATGCCTTCTTACCAGTGAGTTGCTATATCCATCTATTCCTGGCCATTGCTACTTCTCAGACAAACCATTACACCTTGTATGTTTAATCACAGTCCACTTACCAGAACCAAAAAAATTTCACATAGGAATTCATAAAATATTGATTAAGTGAAAGTCCCCCCACTCCATTTTTAAAAACTTTTTTTCTAAGAACATACCCTTTCAAGTTACTGCCCAGTTTTTCTTCCTTTCAGTACTAACATTCTCCAATATGTAGAATTACTCACTGTTGGTACTACTTTACTTCTCACTTATTATTCATACCTCGGCAATCTGATCCGCCAACTATATTGATACTATTTTTACAACAGTTACTGATGTTTTTCCAATTTTTAAATCTATCATCCTCTTAACCTTCATCCTAATACTGTGAACACAGTATGATCTATTCAGTTTAGAAGTCCCGATGTGCCAGGTCCTATGCTGGGTGCCAGGGATACCTTGTTAGTCTGTCAAAACCTCTTCTTGTTTTTGTAAGAACTAAGTATTTAAGATTCTAATATTCTAATTCTTTTCTCTGCATAATCTTTTACTCCCGAGACTCCACAACCATCATTCTCTTCCAGATTTCAACCTATGTATTTATTCTGTAGCATTTGATATTATGAGCACCTCTTCTCACCTCTCCCTTTGGCTTGTATGGTAGTACTCTTCATCCTCCCAACCAGCACATCATTCCTTCTGCCTTCACATCTGTCCCTGAGGCTCTGTTTTTTTTTTTTCCATTTTATTACCTCCTTTGCTAATCTTGCCTGTTGCCTAGAAACTGACCATCACTTTCTTATATGCTGATAACCCTGAAATTTGTTTTTTCCTCTGAACTCCAGACTTGTGTTTCCATTTGTTTGACACTTTCATGGGGATCTTTCATTCAAATGCTAGTATAAAATGTATGCGAGTACAAGAATTTATCTTTTGCAAATCTCTTCTTAGCCTAAGCAGCTAGTTAGGTAAGTCAATATACCAAGTTCTTTCTATCTTCTTCACACCCTTACCCTAGTTCAGTCCAACTAACAAGTCTTGACTATTCCACCATCTAAGTGATCAGTTTCCTTTTATTCCCACTGTTTTGGATTAGGTTCTCATCTCTTGACACTGTATACAAAGTACCTACCCTGAAAAGTGCATTTTCTAATTGATGTTCCTGCTAATCTCATACAGAATTTAAAGAAAAATAAAGCTTAAATATTCCTCAGTTTGGGAGCCATTTGACTCCACATTGAAGACTGAAGAAATTTGTACCAGATTTTTTAAAGTACAAGAGAACTAATTCAGGCTTTGATTCAAACACGTTGGAGTGCCTGTCTGTTCAGAAGACTCTGCCTCCTTTTTTGCTTAAAATGGCAGGCTCTGGATCCTCTGTTCTGCTATATTCAGAGTAGTTCTACTTTCCTCTTTTACTTATCAGACTTCAATTTTAAGAGTTGTGTTGGCCAGGCATGGTGGCTCATGCTTGTAATCCTAGCACTCTGGGAGGCCGAGGCGGGAGGATCGCTTGAGGTCAGGAGTTTGAGACCAGCCTGAACAAGAGCGAGACCCCATCTCTTCTAAAAATAGAAAAATTAGACGAGTGTAGTGGTGTGCGCCTACAGTCCCAGCTACTCGGGAGGCTGAGGGAGGAGAATTGCTTGAGCCCAGGAGTTTGAGGTTGCTGTGAGCTAGGCTGCCAACACAGCACTCTAGCCCAGGTGACAGAGTGAGACTCCATCTCAAAAAAAAAAAAAAAGAGTTGACCTTAAAAGACTGAAAATTAATGTACTAAACAATTTTTGCCACAATGAATGATACTCAATAGAAACAGGAAATTAGTACTTTCAGCTGGGACCTGTAGATTTACCTTTCTGCTTTTCATTATCATTCATGGTGGTAGGACACTACAAGTCTATAAAACTATCAACTGTATATCAAAAACTTAAACTAGTTTTTAGTCATAAAATTCATAAATAGTGAAAATTAAGGATATAAATGTATACATTTGTTATGTTTAACTGCTTTCACAATTTTCTAATAAAGGGTTAATATTTACATTTCTTCAACCCAGAGGTTAAGTACTGTTGTCTCTTGTTAGTCTTTCCAGAAATTTTCTCTGCCTATACAAGTAAACATTTTTTAAAAGTTGTACTGAAATATGTGGTTCTGTACTCTTTTTCATTTAACACGCTATCTTGGAGATACTTCTCTAATGATACATGTAAATATATCTTGTTAAGTATCTATATGACATTCCATTATACAGATAAACAGTAATGTATTTAACCAGATCCTTATTAAAGGATTGTTAGATGTTTTGGCAGTGAACATCCTTGTACATAATGTCAAAGTTGGGTTTTAAGCCTTTGTCAGTTCTTTTCAGTATAGTGTAGAGGTTAAAAGTATAGGCTTTCTTGAACTATTATTCAGGCCATGAAAAAAAAATAAAATTACAGGCTTTCTGTGGCCAGTTCTTCTAACTAGCTGTGTGACCATGTGCAACTTAAGCTGGTTCATGGTCCTTCCTTGCTCAAACCCTCCCTCACTCTTGTTTTCCTACTGCCTTAAGAGCCAGCCTCCCTAGTGTGGCCCTGAAGGCCCTACACGATCTCCTTATCTGCCGCATTGACCTCATTAGCTACTGACCATCCTTGGTTTCTGTGTTATAGTTCTTCTTTCTCAAAGGTATTAGGCCAAGTACCTACCTCCTCAGGGCCTATATGCTGCTTGTGCCACTACATAGAATATCTTTCCTCAGATACTTGTATGGTTAGATCTTTTTTTCCCTTTGTCTCTTTTTAGATGTTACCTCTTGAGAATCTTTCCCTGACTGCTTTTTTTCATGGTTTATTTCAGAATCTGAATGTGTCTTCCATCAGAGTATGAACTTCATGAGGACTTTGTCTGCTTTATTTATCCCCCAATTCCTAAACAGTCTTTGGTACTTAGGAGGCACTCAACACTTACACAGTCTTGAATGAATAACTAAATTGATGTAATTGCTCCATGCCTGATTCTTCTGTTCAGGGGGAATAGCAATGTTTACCTCAAAGTTGTCTAGGCTTAAATGGCATGCATGCAAAGCTGTTACACTGTTGGTCATATTATATATGCAGCTGGTGGCTGTTAGCTTATTAGAGTACCATCTTAGGTGCCAAGAAGTATAGCTTTTTATCATTCTGGTTTTGGATGCTTTTTATACTTTAGCCCCTTTATGAGTGCATGGCTCTTTCATTTGGAATATATTTCAGTATTCTAGAAATTTGTGTTACTAATTGAACACTTAGCGCTTTACTATGCGTTAGTCAACAGTCTAGGAAGATTTATTCACTAATTTAATCCTCAGTCACAGCTGTAATGCTTATGATCAGCAAATAATTTCAAAATTAACCTTTTTTTTTTTTTTGAGACAGGATCTCGCTCTATCGTGCAGACTGGATTACAGTGGCATGATCATAGCTCACTGTAACCTTGAATTCCTGGCTCAAGTGATCCTTCTGCCTCAGCCTCCCAAGTAGCTGGGACTGTAGCTGCACACCACCACACGCAGTTAATTTTTTTACTTTTTGTAGAGATGGGGTCTCACTAAGTTGCCCAGGTTGGTTTTGAACTTCTGGCCTCAAGTAATCTTCCTGCCTAAGCCTTCCAAAGTGCTGGTATTACAAATGTGAGCCACTGTGCCTGGCCAGCATTAATACCCTGCCTTATAGTAGAATGTTTAATTTTGATTCAGCTGTGTAATCAAACAAATTTAAATGTATAAGATTTTATCTGCCCTTCTGCTCTATGAATACTATATGAGCATAAGGGTCTGCTATTCCTGCAGCTGGTGTTATTTCCTGAGTGCCTCTCATAAATACATCCAACTTGTATCATTTCAGTGTCTAAAGATTTATAAAAATTATGTAACATGAGCTTTAAATGGCAGTTAGCTAAAAGAATAGCACCAACAATGGAGGAACAACTGGACAACTAGCTGTATTAGCCTGTGTGCTAAGACTGTGTGTCCATCTCTAACATGGAGCTTTTCTAAGGGTATTTCAGCCATGTGTGACTTCTTTTTTATGCATTCACTGACTTTAGAACTTAACCCCTTCACAAATGCTTCTATACTGTAGTCATAACTTTATTTCATGTTGTTTTTCATTTGACTCCATTTGGAGAAGAGTAAATTTCATTAAGTAATACAGTTATTAGATCATAACTGTTAGTTAAACTTAATGCTTTGGGTGGTATTTCGGGCATTGAAAATGTGTAAGTTCTGGTCTGATACTTTTTGTAAAACATGTCTGCCCAGCCAGCCCCCTGCCTTTAATTAAAAGGTTGGAAACTACCAAAGGTGACAGGGTGACAGTGGTGGAAACAATAGCTGGAAACTACTGCTACTGTCAAGGTTGGTTAGAAACCTGGATGTAGCAGCCAAAAAGTCTACCATTTATACCACAATGAAATCTTACAGTTCGTCTAGCAGCCTCATGCATTCCCCTGTCCTTGGGGATTAACCGATGACAAACATAACTAGGTTTTTTCTTTTTGATATAGAAGTTGTCAAACATCTACAAAAATACAGAGAATGGTATGATGAATCCCCATGGCCTCAACAGTAAGTTACATGTGGCCATTCTTGTGTCTATATCCCTGGTCCATTCTTCCCCTCTTATTTTGAAGCAAATCCTAGATATTATTTAATCCATAAATAGATCAGATGCATAGTTCTGATATTGGTATTACAGTAAAATGTTGGTTTAAACTTTATTCCTTGGCCATCTTATAAATCTGCCAGGAGTGAAGCCAGGCACAGTGCTCATGCCTGTAATCCCTGCTATGTGACAGGATTGCTTTAGCCCAGGAGTTCAAGACCAGCCTGGGCAACATAGTGAGACCCCATCTCTTAAAAAAAAAAAAAAAATAGCTGGGTGTAGTGGTGCACGCCTATAGTCCTAGCTACCCAGGAGGCTGAAGCAGGAGGATCACTTGTCCCCGGGAGCTCGAGGCCACAGTGAGCTGTGGTCATACCACAACACCCAAGCCTGGGGGACAGAGAGAGACCCTATCTCTTAAAAAAAATTAATAAATAAAATCTGCCAAGAATGAGAAGACAATTCCCTATCTAGCTATATGGAGCCCCTCTGTTATAACACCTCAGCTATTGGGCAAGGAAAAAAAAGATGGCTCAATGGACTTAATTTTATTGAAGAACAACACATTTTATCATGTGAAAGAATCCTTAAATCACTTGTGCTGGAGTCAGGCCACCTCATGTTTGTTTTAGAGAGTCGCATGGATTAAGAAAATTTTTAATTTTTGATCCATAGGAATCCTATGAGGATGGTTGTGAGGATTATCCCACTCTATCAGAATATGTTCAAGATTTTTTGAATCATCTTACAGAGCAGCCTGGCAGCTTTGAAACTGAAATTGAACAGTTTGCAGAGACCCTGAATGGTTGGGTTGCAACAGATGATGCTTTGCAAGAACTTGTGGAACTTATCTATCAACAGGTAGGTTGGCTGATAGCGTGGAATGATCTTGGGATAGTTTCCTTGAGCCCAAGGCTGGTGGCTACTCCTGAGGAGGCCAGGTTCATGTTCACTTGCGTCCACGTTTAACTTTTTGTGATTCACAGGAGTCCTAAGTTCATCTTGTATAAAACCCCTGTAGTTAGGGATCCAAGGCTAGAGCCAGGCTGGACTGCAGATTCACCTCTGTGGCCAAGACTCTATACAGGCAGTATTCACCTGTATAGCCAAGGCTCTACATAGGCAATATGGTATAGACGGGGATTTGGGCACTTAAGAGGAAGGCTACATAAATACTGCACTTACCCCCCTAACCTACCCTCCATTTTATAGGATCTTCAACAGTACACAAAAAAGACTGCAATTCTTTCTCTTGCATGTCGAATTACGTAGCATTATTGGAGGTAGGGGAGGGAAAAAATTATGAGAGAACTTACTTGTCTCATAAATAGGTCTTTTTAAAAAAAAAGCCAGACCACAAAACATCTTGTCTTGAGTCTTAACATTTCTACTTCACTATCTCCTAAAATTTAAAGTTTTACATTTTTTTCCTTGAAAGTCTAAAATTTAGTTAGTCAAGATTGTTTCATCATACACCATTTAGTTTTAATCTCAACATATTGGGCATTGACATATTAATACTATTTTAAAGGTGAAAAATGCAATAGACAACACTGGTTTTTTAAGACAAAATTTAAAGTCAGTTTGAGACTGGCTAATAACAGGCAGTAAATGAAAATATAAACTTTGTGTTCATTAAGTCATTAAAAGAGCAACTAAAATTTGGAATATATGGAAGAGTGATTATAATCCAAGTAGATAGTTTTGGCGTAACTAATATTTCATTTGGCTACTTTTCCAAGCCATTCTGGACTGTTACTGAACACCAAGATTACATGGCCAACTCTCAGGTTTTAGGAAATGCCTGAGATTTGGGGAAGATAGAACTGGTCTGTTTGTGCTCATTCCTACTTTCTGCTTCTTAATGGATTGAAAAGAAGTATGAAATAAGAAAATGGAAGAAATATTCGTTGTTGCTATTCTAGTTTCTCCTCTGTAGTTTCAGTTATTTAACAGGCTCTATGTAATTATGATTCTTCAGGGCCGGGCAGGGGGTCTGTAACCTGACAAGCTGCAACTATTTCTGTGATTGTCTCAAAACCAATTCTTCAAATATGTACTCAATATTCTTTAAAGTTTTATTACTCTGTAGTCAGTGACATACAGGTTTAGCAACAGCTGGTAAATTTTGTTGAGGTCATTTATGGAAATTTACTCATAGCAGCTAACAAAAGAGGACTTATTGTAAAAGATGGCAGATTAAACATACACATTCAACTTTGATCCCTCCCCAAACACCACTAAAATGACAGTGGGGGGGATTTTAAAAAGGCAGAAAGAAGCCCATAAGGACAGAAGAGGAAAGGCGATAAAAGCACCATTTTGAAGACTAGAAAGCAGGTGGGTGAGTGGTAACTGACTTGGCAGATCTGCTGCAGTTGAATTCCAAGCCAGTGGGGAAAGCTGAGAATCGCCCTGATTTAAAATGTGGCATCTCTGAAAGGCTCCAGGATAAGGATGGAATGAGGCTAAAAAGATTGGTTGAGGATCTAAAAAAATTATGCCCTCTGAATCTTGCACTGAGCAGCCAGTTTGAAGTTTTATTATAAACTTCTTGATGTTAACAAAGGAGGTACTCAGGAAAAAAGAATTAAGCCAAGGACGAAGACATGGAAACCAGGAGATGGAATTCTGCAAGAGAGGCTAAGTGAATTATCCAGATCTGCAGTCACCAACCCCGGGCCATGGACCAGCAGGGGCGCACCTGCCCTGAACTAGGCCTGGGCTGCACAGTAGGATACAGGCGAGTGAGAAGCCCCACCTCTACCCACAGCTGCTACTCATCTCTGGCATCACTACCCGAGCCCTGTGCCTCCCCTCCCCCGGACCTTCAGATCGGCAATGGCATCAGACCCACGTAGGCATGCAAACCCCACTGCGCATGCCAGGGATCCAGGTCATGTGCTCCTCTTTAGACTCCAACACCTAATAATCTGAGGTGGAGCCAAGGCAGTGACGCCCCCCTCACCCACTGTCGGTGGCAAAACTGTCTTTCACAAAACCGGTTCCTGGTGTCAAAAAGATTGGGGACCACTGATGGTTGAAAGGAGATTCCAAGACAATAGCTGCTTGTGTAGCAGGTCTGGAGCAGCCAGGCTTCACTGGAGTAGGTAGGAAGGCTCCTGGAAGGACTTCTCTGTTAAGATGAACACACCTGCTACGTTTGAATTATTGAGAAGAAATTTACAAATTAGGGATAAATCAATGAGAAGTATATGAAAAACAGTAGAAAAAACTGTCTAGGGAAAACAGTTATGCAAAAGTAAAATCAGTGTGTAATACATAGTCCAGCTATAAATGGAAACACAGCTAATAAAATGGTATAACCATATAAGTAGATAGAGGGAGTAGGAAATAGTGGAATGGGGTGGAGTTAAGCAGGGTGAAAGCTCAAAGTTCATCATCTCTGGTGGGAAACTACAGGTTTAGTATCCCTTATTGAAATACTTGGGACCAGAAGTGTTTCAGATTTCAGATTATCTTCAGATTTTGAAACATTTGCATATATAGTATGTAATAAAATCCCTCAGGGCTGAGACTTGAGTCTGTTGAAGCTGAAGAGGGTTGGGAGGCTCTTTTTCCCTTGGTGTTGCTGAGTAAACTCTTGTGTGCCCACCTTTTGACTGACCTGTCACATGAAATCAGGTGTAGAATTTTCCACTTGTGATGTCATGTCAACACTCAGAACTTTTCGGATTTTGGGACATTTTGAATTTTCGGATTAGGTATGGTCAACTTTGGTAAGAAATAACATCTAAGCTGAAAAATCATGTAACGTGGAGATACAGAGGTTAAAATCTTTTTAGCTGAAAGACAAAAAAGTGGTTGTCTGGGGCTTAGGTAGGGAAGTAGGAAACTGTTGAATGACAAGCCTCATAGAATTTAAGTCTTTAAATTGTGTGTGATAACTTTAAAAAGAAACTAAAGGAAAATGGGCAGTGCCAATAATGGGAAAAGTATAAGTTTGAGTTTCAAGTCTTCTGTGGTTACCAGCTAATGTCAGGAAAAATCAGTCTTTCTCCCTTGATGTGAAATTTGTGGGATCCCATGCAAGCAAGGAAATAATTGGAAATAAAAAGGTCTTATAACTGTCAAACACTTACTACATGCCAGGCAGTGCTAAGCACTTCACATGTAGTTAACTCATCTAATCCTCAATAGTTGCAAGGTATTACTTATTCCCATTCTGTATATGTATCTTAAGAAAGGTTAAGTGACTTGTCTAAGGTTACCAGACCTAGTAAGTGACCCAACATGGGGTTGGAGTGGCATCAGGCCATTCGTTAGATCTAAATTCTGTGGTTGATTACCTTTGTGACCTTGGCCAAGCCCCTTAACCTCCTAATATGTATTTTCTTGCCTAATGTTAGATGGCAAACTATGTTCTCTACTATTTAAAAACTCTGACTAGTTGCCTCCTTAGCATAGTAAGCAGCACGTCAGTCTCATAAAAACTCTGACTAACCTTCCTGAGTACTGCTTTGGCTACATCACCATATTCTTTGATATATGTAGTGTTTTCTCACTTTTTTTTTTTTTTAGTGGCTTAGCTGTTTTAATTTCTTCTGTATCTCAAGTGCTCTTGGGGTGTTCATTAAGTGTTAGTCTCATTCCAAGTATCCTTAATCACCTTTTTAGGAATCAAACTGAAGCTCAGGGAGGTTGAGTGACTTCCAAAGTCAAGAAGCAGAATGCCAGGGAATCTTGTTCTGGACTGCTAGACACAAACTCTATACTGTCCTGCCCCTGAGAAGCACCACTGGTCAATAGTTCAACAGATATTCTCGTTCATAATTGTCACTGTGCAACTAGGTTCATGTACAAATTTTCTGCAGAAATGGGTTAACATCAAGAGACATTGTCTATTTGCTTTCTGGTAACCTCAGGTAAATGGTGGGGAGGGGAAGAATTTGTCTTAAACGTTTCTTTGTACTTGCGGGTCTTGGGTATAATGTTGGGAGGGAGAGTAAACTTAATTGCCTTATACCAATTACAAAAGATTTGTATATGATCAATTTTGGGCCTCAAAATAATTTTTCCTCTTTAGAATGTTGCTATTCTTAAGTATTTGCATTAATAACAATGTATCTGTGTCATACAAAACTTTTCTTTTTAAAAGGCCACATCTATCCCAAATTTCTCTTACATGGGAGCTCGCCTGTGTAATTACCTGTCCCATCATCTGACAATTAGCCCACAGAGTGGCAACTTCCGCCAATTGCTACTTCAAAGGTTAGTGTGTTTATGAAGTTAAAGGAAAACTACTTGTAAATGTACTAGAATTTGACTGTTCCTCTTTTCTAAAGACCATATGTTACAGAAAGCTGCAGGGGAGAATAGGGTGGCCTGTTCTTATTTGCTAGTATTAAAAGTTTATAGTCAAATATCAGTCTTTTTTTTTTTTTTTTGTAATAGTCTTTTGTAATGGGGTTTGTGTTTAGAAGGCCTTTCCTTTTCTCAGATCTTAAAAATGATATGTATTTCTTAGTATTTCTATAGTTTTGGTTTGAGTAAAGATCTAATTTTACTTAGAATAAAAGTGAATAATGCTTATTGATTCCAACTGCCATCTTTATCACACTGCATTTTTATGTTTGGGTTTTGATTCTGGACTTTCATTATATTCCATTTATCACTTATTGTGTTCCTTTTTATTACCATACAATAGCTAGTAAAAACCTCTAATTTTTAAAACATCTGGTTAATTTTCCATTTTTAGTGTGTGTAGAAATCTTCGCTATGCTTGTTTTCTCCAGTGAACTTCAGAATCAGTATTTAAAATTACCTTGTTGGTATTTGTTAGATATTTTGGGGATGATATTGAACTTATAAGCTAATTTAGGGAAACCTAATCTCAAAATTTGAGTTGTCCTCAATAACGAGGTTGTCTTCAAGTTTATTATAGTTAGTCCATTAGTTCTTTAAAGATACAGTTAATGGCTGCAAAAGTCTTCCATTGTGTGGTTAAACTGCAGTGGAACAGAATGATACAAAAAGTAGACCCCAGAAACACTAGAAATTAAGCTTTTGATGAAAAGATAAATTGTGCTGGTAGCATAACTGGATAGCCATTCAGGAAAAAAAAAAAGATGAATTCCTGTCTTATTCTTTATGCCAAAATAAATTCCAAATATATCAGAAGACTTAAAAGTGAAATGGTAAATACTAAGGGGGAAAACTGACAATTAAAATCTTGAGTTGGTAAAGACCTTTTAAGCAAGACATCATACCCATAGGCCCTAAAATAAGAGACTAACAAATTTAGTTACATATAGATTATAACATTTGGGGAGGAAGGCATAAATTTATGAAGTGAAAATTGAAAGATTTATAACACATGCCAGTGAGTTCATTTACTTAATACAAAAAGAGGGGCCTCTTAGGAATGAATAAGAAAAAGACCAGTATCTTAATAGAAATACTTGGAATGGCCTTGATTGGTATAGTTGGAAAAATATAAATGACAAAGTTATAAAAGTATCTAACCTTACCTGTAACTAAAGAAATGCAGGCCGGGCACGGTGGCTCACGCCTGTAATCCTAGCACTCTGGGAGGCCTAGGTGGGAGGATCGCTTGAGCTCAAGAGTTCGAGACCAGCCTGAGCAAGAGCGAGACCCCGTCTCTACCAAAAATAGAAAGAAATTAATTGGACAGCTAAAAATATATAGGAAAAATTAGCCAGGCATGGTGGCACATGCCTGTAGTCCCAGCTACTCGGGAGGCTGAGGCAGTAGGATCGCTTGAGCCCAGGAGTCTGAGGTTGCTGTGAGCTAGGCTGACGCCACGGCACTCGAGCCCGGGCAACAAAGTGAGACTGTCTCAAAAAAAAAAAAAGAAATGCAAATTATAGCTTCTAGAAAGATACAAAGTGGATACTTCTAGAAGGTAAGGTGCCAGAAAGGTTCATGTATCTTCTTATTCCCTAGTGCTTCTCACCCTGGTTTTGCCTTAGAGTTATTAATGCTTAAAGACTAAAATAGGGCTGAGACCCTGCATCCACCCTGGGAAATTCTGGTGTAATTGGACTGCGGTGGAGCCAGGACATGGCTTTTTAAAGCTCCCCAAGTGATTCTACTGCGTAGCAATGATAAAGAACTACTCGTCCAATTCTGAGTCTGTACCTGTGTGTGCTTCTATAGTGTTGTCAAAGATACTAATGTGAAGAACTGCTGAGGATATAACAAGTAACGAGCAGAGCATAATTCTACTACATACAGTCTTTGGAAAAAAAAAAAAATGGAAGTTACCCTCACAGCAGTTATCTCATGGTTGCAGTGGTAGTATAGGTGACTGTTCTTTATATTTTTCTGTTTTAACTTTTGTGAAATAAATATGTATGGCTTTTTATAATTAAATCTTCAGCTTAAAAAGGTCTAGGGTCTTTAACCTAGATGGTCAACCATGTACAACCATGTTGCTTTTACACATATTCATGTCCTTATGTACAGGCTAATAGTTGTAGCAATTTGTAAAACAAAAGTTTCATCTAAATTCTTACCCGTGAAGTTGTAGCAGAAAGAAAAGCTTCCAAAGAAAGTGTTTTTGGATGACTGAGCTGACATTAACTGATCTCCTCTGAGCCGGGCATGGTGGCTCACACCTGTAATCCTGGTACTTTGGGAGGCCAAGGTGGGAGGATCACTTGAGGCTAGGAGTTTGAGACCAGCCTGATCTAAAGCAAGACCCCATCACTACAAATATATAAAAATTAGCTGGGCATGGTGGGTATGTGCCTGTAGTCCCAGCTACTCAGGATGCTGGGGTAGGAGAATCACTTGAGCCCAGGAATTTTAGGTTGCAGTGAGCTATGATGATACCACTGCGCTCTAGCCAGGGCAACAGAGTGAGACTCTGTCTCAAAAAAAACAAAAAACAAAACACTGATCTCTTCCAATATTAACTAGAGTGTTCTATGCATAAATATCCCAGCTTTTTTTTTTCCTGATAAAGAATTTAATATGTATAAGAAGGTAACAAATATCTTACTATATCTAACTTACTACATCTGAGGAATGGTACTCAGTTAATACAGTTTGTAAGCATTGGAATTGGCTACATAGGCACCATAAGTTATGCTGGGTTTTTAGCTGGCTCACAAACTGACCCAAGGTAAATTCTTGAGTAAGAAGTGATTTCTTTTTTTCTTCATTACAAATTTTTCACAAAGCCAACCTAAACTGGCTATATGGGGAAGCCATTTGGTCTCAATAGCTCTTCCCTTTTTCTTTAAAAGAAAAGCTGTCAACCATTTTATATAAAATGACTTTCCTAGAGTTTTCTCACCACCTTATCAGTAAAGATAAAAAATACTTAACACCAAAGCGATAAACTTTTGCAGTCCACATTTTGGACTGCAAAAATCCACCTTAGTGACAGCAGCCAACATCATAATTATACTGAACAAAGGCAGTGACAGGCATGTTGTGATTAGTTTAGGTACCCTGTAGGAACTATGGCAGTAAGCTCCAGGAGAATTTATTTTTGTTATCTCTGAGGCAAATGGGCCAAGTCAGGAAAGTAAAGCAAGGAAAATTCATTTGTTTGAAGCCCTCAGTCTCCACTGGAAATAGAGACCAAATGAATTGCTTTCCATGTTGTGGTTTTAATTAGGGAATTATTTCCTCACATTAATACTTCTCTGATCTGTGTACTGGAAGTTACAAGGGTAATGGGCTTGAGTGAAGAATTCATTTTATTTTCAGTTTAGTTGGAGGCCATCTATATATATATATTTAAGGATCTGTTTCAAAATTCTAATATGCAAAAAATTTTTTACAGGGACAATTTAGGTAAAATCAGTGGTTATCAAAAAGTCTGTAAGACAAATAAGGTGAGGCTTTTTTCTCCCCCTTTTCGGGCAGTATGCCATGAACCTCATGACATTATGTTGCTTAAACATATTACCAATTTGATTTGATAAGAATAGTTAAAAACAAAACTATTAGTTTCTTGAAACTGGGAGTCTTCGTGTGAAAAGATGCTGTATATTCTAGCCTCTACAATAGACAGAAACTGTTTATTATAGAAAGTCAGGTTGTTGGGACATTGTACTTGCCTCTATTGCTGTGAACAACCAAACTGACAAGTGGTCATCTCGTTTGACTACTTAAAAAATGTGAAATTATAAAAGATATGTCTTTATTAGATGTCGGACTGAATACGAAGTTAAAGATCAAGCTGCAAAAGGGGATGAAGTTACTCGAAAACGATTTCATGCATTTGTGCTCTTTCTGGGAGAACTTTATCTTAACCTGGAGGTAAGCAATTTTTCTTTTAAATACTAACACGGCCTGAGAACATAAGTTGATCTCAATGAGGAATTTGTGTTCACATTGTACTTTTACATTATTAAGAGTGAAATGAAAGAGCGGGGAGTGGGAGAGAAAGAACATGTTTCAGTATCTACTCACAGTAGTATCTATGCTCTAATGGACATCTGCAACATTTATTTCTCTTGCTCATGGGCAGGATGTTGCAAAGTAATTACTGAGCTTTTTAAAGTCTTTATGTACTTTTAGGAAGCTGCGTTTTACATGTAAGTTTAAGCTCTTGAGGTATCAACAGTGATACCTTTTGAGTCCTTGCATCATAAATGTTAATACATTTAGTATGTTGACTTTCAGATGGTGGCTCAAAGCAACTTATTCTGCAGAACACAGTCTTTTGAATGAAGAGGAGAGAGACTAGAGTTTCTGACTTTTTACCCTAATTCACCTAGAATAGTTTTTTTAAAATATTTTTTACTTATTTTTTTAATTGACAAAATTATATCTATGATGTACAACATATTTGAATATATGTATACAATGAAATGGTTAAATCAAGCTGTTCAACATGCATCACCTCACATACGTATTTTTTTGTGGGACGAGCACTTGACCTAATTTCAATTTTCAAGTATATGGTATATTAACTATAGTCATCATGATGTACAATAGATCTCTTGAACTTATTCCTCCTGTTTAACTGAAATTTTGTGTCCTTTGACCAACATCTCCCCAATCTCCCTACCCCCCAAAAATAGTTCTTTTGTCCTATTTTATATATTAATCTTCCACATAAAATGCATTTGTACAGAGTCTACAGCTAAATGTGTTTGTAAATTTAGATGGTATACTTTACTCAAGCATATGCTTGTTAGTAGGTAGTGTAAGTGCTGAATAATTATAATACTATGTAATGGACTGGTTTGGATTTTTTTTTTTTTGATTAGCGAATCCCATATATAGATTTAAACCTTCTTAAACCCTGACTCGAACTTAATTTCTTAAACACCATAATATCAGAAACATGAGATACGTGAATCCACCATCAAATGTGCATCTCACTAGTGTATCTAAAAGGTCTATGTCCAGTCCAGTGTCTAACTTACTGTCCCTTTTTATTACAGGTCTACTTAATTTTTTTAAAAAATCTCATCCCTTATGCTTTTTCAGTCTAATTTTTGTATAAGCCAAAATAAGGACACACTAAAATGTGGCTGAAATGAAGAGTCATTTTAAAAATGCTGTTGAGCATTTCCTATATGGAAGTAATGATGCTAGGTCTGTGGGGAGTATAAAGATGAAGGCATCATTCCTACACCTAAAATTTCTCTACCTGGTGAAATAAGATACATATACCACTCTAAAATAGAATATGTTAATTTAGTGTAAGAAGCAGAATAAAATGCTATGTGTTCAAAGAAGGTAGTTAGCTTAAACTAGAAGATGCTTTATGAAACAGTAACATCAAAGTCGCTTAAATTACCTGACCATATGTGTGATAAATGGTAGGTAAATTTTACCCATGGTTTACTGGTTTTATTAGAGGTTTTAGTTACATATAAAGTAATTCTAACTAATTCTGTAAAGGTGTTGGAGTGTGTTCCTATGATTTTTGTATTTAACTAAAACACTTATTTTGCCAACACCTTGTTAGGCCATTTATATGTCTGTATCATATTTTGGCATCCTTGCTTTTAATTTTCTTTTGTCCCGAAAGATCAAGGGAACAAACGGACAGGTTACAAGAGCAGATATTCTTCAGGTTGGTCTTCGAGAGTTGCTGAATGCCCTCTTTTCTAATCCTATGGATGACAACTTAATTTGTGCAGTAAAATTACTGAAGGTAGGTTTTTTAAAATTTAACCATTTTACCCATTTAATTTATAATTGAGAGGAAGGAAAATATGTAGTACACAAATGAATTCAAGATTATTTCAGTTAAATGTTGACATTTTACTTTGCTGTCAAATATATTAGAAAAGCAATATATGCTTAATGTTTATATAAGAAGCAAAACATGGAAGTCCTTCACCCCATCCCTATCTATAAATTCCCTCTTCTTCCTTTCTATATATGTGCTGTTGTAAAATCTTATTCTTTTGTGACTTTTTTTTTCTTGCCACCTAATGAAGGATCTTGGTTTTTTTTCCCATGGCACACAGTTTTTACTCATTATTGAGTAACTTCCTAGTATTACATTGTATGCATGTTTATCCATTCCACAAATCTATAAGTACTTATCGAGGAACATTTGGATTGCTTTCAACTTAGCCACCACAGCACGGCTAATAATCTTTTCTCATGTCTTTATATGTGCAGATATTTCTGTAGGTTAAATTCTTAAACATAGATTTGGTGAGTCAGTGAGAATGTATTCTTCATATGGACAAGTTAGGGCAAATTTTCTTTCCAAGTGCTGAACCCTAGAGTGTACTTACATCAATGGTGAATGAGTACATCTCTTTCCCTACATCCTTATAGTGATGGATATAATCAGTCTTGATTTTTGTTTTGTTATAGATGAGTAGTAAAAACTAAAAGCTAATTCTACTTTGCCTTTTCCTGATCACTAATGAATTTAAGCATTTCTTCATGCTTTTTAGCCATTTTTGTTAGTTTCTGTGAGTTGCCTGTTTAAATCCTTTAACTCATTTTTTTTCCTAATGGAATTTGTTGTATGTGTTTTAATTCAGAGCTTCTAATATTTGTTGCATGTTGCATATTTCAAAAAGTGGTATGTTCATTCAAACCTATTAGCCAATCTTCGTCATACAGGGAATATAACATTTATTATATATATTATTGATAACCAGTGATTAAAATTTTATGATTCATTCCTTTAGTTTCTTGCAGTCAA